GAATTTAGCAATGTATATATATTGTAATAAGTATAGTAATAAGTATATTGTAATAGAGATAAGTTGGAAATTAATATAAAAAGAAGCAACGGTGTAGTATCAGTTTAAGAAACTTCAGCCAAGTACATTTCTATTTCCATGGTGGGACCTGCCCTTTTCAGGGCGGGCCGAATACGGGGCGAACGGCGCGGGATATGGTCCTTTTAGGACCCATACCGTGCATCGCCCTGTAGCGAGGGATATCGGTCGTTTTTAGTGGGAATACCCCTGCTCTTTGACTACCATTATTTATTTATTCATTACCTCGGTTAGCCGCGCTGGAGACCCGGGGTATGCGGTAACGCATTTTCAATCGTTAAAAAAAAAGTACATTTCTATTCATTACTACAGAGTCAGCACTTCTATCGTTGTCGGGCCCTGAAGAGGTCACAAGTTTAGGGGAGTATCGTCTGCCTGCATTACCGCGTGAAGTATTTTTATATATGGTACAAGGCCCTATGTTAATTTAACATTGTCGTGAAGCGATAACCCTCAACATTATAAATAGAGGTCCATATACCTATTATCAGCATGGCCGGCGTCTGAGCGAGACATTCACGTGTGTCCCGATCGTTACTGGTCTTAAAACGACAATGTAAAAAAAGGCTAGTCAAAATAATTATAATGATGACACTAATATAATATTGAGTTTTTCCTTAAAATTAATCTCAAAATAATTAACAATTAGGCTTTCACTCTTTATACATTTTACTTGGGTGCCTACATTTGATTTCTAATATCGAGGTAGGTTATGTAGCTATATACAGTACTAAGAAACCAGACATCAATCAACACCCGTATTTTTTGAATAATTAAACTATTTTAAATGTTAATTAGAATAACATTTAAAATAGTTTAATTAATATTTAATACTAGAATTTTAACCCTTCAGTGTAGCGTGTATAAATAGAACATTTTAAGACCTTTGTATTTAATTTGAAATGCTTATTTTAAAAGACTTGTCGAGTGTAACTTTCTGAGGTATATGGCCAATGAATGATTTGATCTGATTTGATACGGGGAATTCGAAAATCAAATAAAACAGATTCCAATTAAAATAAAATTGCATTTATCATTCATAAAATATATTAATAAATATATAGAACCATTCTGTTAATTAAACACAGCTAATAATGTAACATATGCATAATATATATTTAAATTTTCACATATAAACGAGATGAAACATTTGTTTTGCCTTTGATGTGCCGAGAAAGTGAAAATAATATTATTTCATTAACTGAATATTTTCAACAGTATATTATTTGAAAGACGATAAAGGCATTATCTTTGTCTAAAGGAAATTTTATGTCTAGGCTATTACTACAATTATTTATAACAAAAAACATGATTTAGTTTCTTTATTTTCGCCAAATTTATACATTTTGCTAAAGATTGTTTAATTTGTTTTTTTTTAACATGAAAAACTAAAGTGCAGCTTGACTGGTTATATAAAAATATCCACAATGTTAAAAATTTTAAATGAATTTTTCAAACGCACTGAATTAATGATTCTTTTTATTTTCGAAAATCAATGACATTAATTCCTTTTGATATATATTTTCTTATTTTATTAGTTATCCAGAAGATTTTTTACTCTTCAATTTAAAAAAAATCAATGTAAGTATACTTGATCTTAACTAAATAGAGAAATGCGGCACCATATCGTAAAAAAAATCGGTTTTAATTTGTTTTCACTGTTTACAGGTTAAACTATTTTTGATCATTTTAAACAAGTATAATACACGCAACAGTAGGGTTGCCAATTAAAATAATTGATTGTGTGTATTGATGCACACAAAGTGTGCAATAATATAACGTACGCCAAACTACTCAAGCAATTTCTTCCAAAATTTGTCAATTTTTATTGATTTGTGCCATTGATTTTCATTATTTGAAATTGTATTAGGTATCCTTAAATATTTTTTGAAACATTTTATTTTAGGGATAAATTGTTGGCAACTCTACTTTGCGTACTGTAGCCGCTCACTATGCTATCAGCTATATACCAACATACATTATTAGGCAACAAGATGTACATACAAATAGGGTTTTTTGGCGATTAAGTACGTACATAAAATATACAAGTGCTTCTATACAACTGTCGTCACGCAACTTTCGCGATAATGACGCATTTTTGTACGAAAATTGCGTCACAAAAGTCAGTTACAAGTGTATAAAAAGTATAATTATTGTTACATATTTCTGAAACGTCATAAGTTTTCACAGCATAGTATTACATATTTACTAACTAAGATAAGAGTAATTTATTTATGTTTAATTTGCTTTTTTACTGAAATAGAAAATTACACACACATTAAAAACAATTTTATTTGCAATATAATGAATATTTATGTGTATATAATTTGTTTAAAATGTATGTAAACACAATGTATCTACTTATTTGAAATAGACTGTATACTAAAAACATAATTGAGTCGATTATTTACTAAATAATTAAATCGTTATGGTTGGAAACTATTTAGCTGAATGATTGTAAACAAAATGTCTCGTGTAGGAGAAAAGGAAACTCCTTTTTTTTTGTTTGATGATTTTATAGCTATTAAATAATTGTCTAATCATATATTTAACATCTGTTTCTGTTTTCAGGTATCTATGGATTTTTTTTTTTATTTCTTTAGTGACACCAAAGCAGGCCAAGAGGTCAAAAGTGAACAGCCCGGATTCTATTGTACTTCACACTTACAAAGAAAAATATGATTACAGTAAAATGAAATACTTTTGGTAAACATAACATCTAATAATAATTTTATAACTCGTATTTGATTTAATTATTTTATCAATTTGTCGGCAAATAAACAACGATAATATAAAATAATGAACATAGGCCACGAACAATTCAAATTCCGCCTTAACACATTCTTTTACATCAAAAAGGTATATAAATGTGTAATCGATATTATTTTATCGAGTAAAATACAACTGTTTGCAATGTTATCGAAACAATTTAGTAGGTACTTAGAGATGACACGAAAACGTAAAACTTATGCATCAAAAAGCAATTTAATCTATAAATGTAGGTTTTATGTAGTTAATCATATCAAAAATAAAATCAATCTTTGTATCAATAAAGTCCTAAAATTGAAACAGATGAAAATTCACTAACATAGTAATGACATTTCTTCTAAAATTGACGTGAGTGTACTGCTTATTTGGTGCCAAGTAGGTGATTCATTTATCAATCAAAGTTGATTAATGCCAATTATTATAAATTAGCAGTGTCTTAATCTCTAAACGAAATTCGCGGATTGATGAAGATTTTATTCATGATTACGAAATATAATAACTGGAACTTAAAGAACAGTAATAATCGTAGGTACTAATTTCAATTATAGTTAAAATCAAATTTCATAATATTGGCAGCCATAACTTTACAATACGCGTGTCAATAAAATCAAATTACAATCGGATACATCAAAATTTCTATACAGTATATTAATTATTTATACGTACGTAGTATAAAATTCTCTATACTATATATAATAATTAATTAATATAAATTCAACTTGTGATAAATATGCCATTATTTGTGTTAACACATACTATAATTATATCCGTATTTCTAATATTCATTAGCTGACTATGACGCATTTTTATTATATCATTAAAATTTATTTATATTATATTATTATCGATAATAAAGCATTTATTTTGCAAACATTTAAAAGAGAAGAATAAATAGCAAATGTTGCAATAATTATACGGTTTTTAAATTATTGTAACATCGTTTACATTTTTTCAAATGACATCTGGCAGAGAAATTGTACCTGTAACTTTATTATTATAATTAACAATAGATGTTATAGTCAGAGCCTTGGTCAGGGTCATACTTTTTTAAAACTCCGCTGTCAATTAGTCACCGACACGCATACTTTTCAACGCATTCTGAATGTCAAGTTTAATTAATAAAATTCAATGACGAAGTCAATTTTCATCAAATCTTAGTCCGTACTCTTGAAGCATAGACTAAATATTTATTCAATGTCAATTAGTTCAATAAATTACCACACAATATAGCCAATTGGCGCTAATGTACAAAAACACCGCGTACATCGCGATTGCGTTCAAAAGTAAGCATGCAGCCCCCTGATTGTCTAATTTTAAATCTATTGCAATCGCTTTCAGTTTGAAAGGTGTTGCACAACCATTGCTGCATAATACAAATACTTTTTTTTCAACTGTCTTCAGAAACAAGCAATGGTTATACAACATCTTTCAAACCGAAAGATTTTAAAGTTAGACAATTAGGCCCCAGGTTGCATCTCACGAGCCGTTGAAATTTCCACAGATGACGATTATTTTTGCCGCCATAAAAACATATGTATATTAAAAAAAAAATTAATGGGTTAAAAACAAACGTGTTTTTTATCTATAATGATATGGAACCTTTCGTGCGCGATTTAGACTCTCATTTGGCCGGTTTTTTACGTCATACTCAGCGAATGATGTGTCTACATATAGTAATAATAGAAAATCTCACTATTCTTCTAGTCACCGTGTAGTGACTAACAGTAGGTAAGTATATTATCTTATTAATTCAGATCATTTTGTTATAAAAGACCACTACATGTATTACCATATTATTGACATTAAATCTCGGAAATATTTAAACACATGAAATTTGTAGTAAAACTATTACGTAGTGTTATTTGTAATGTACTGTAAACAATTCAAATATGAAATTTTTATTTGCTATCTTTAAATGTAAAAATGAATATATAATTTTTCGCTTACTTAAAATAGGTATTTTAACTTGCAAAATATATAAAGGGATAATCAGCTCGGAAAAATTGTATAAAGAAATTGTGGCACGTACGTACTAATTTCTGTGGCCAAATAAAATTAAAAACTGTTACGTTTAATAATCATCAGCAACGTGTGAAGGTACAAAGACTGCAATTACTCCTCTACTTATCCAAATTACATACTCCTTTAGAATACAATTTCTCCATACATTAAATTACATACTAAATAAATTAACATTAAAATTTTCAAAATATCGACATCAAACTGCATCTTAAACTATATTGTCTGTTAAGTGTTATATTATGTTCATATCATTAGTTCTAACAGCATTTGTCTGAGACATCATTTTCGTCATCTTGTATAACGATAGTCTCAGTCATTTGAGTGTCATTACCATTCCTATCGGAGTCATTGTCATCTTGCAAGTCTTCCACATCATCCAAGCTAGCTTGACCTGCTTTCTCATCATTTCTTGTATCACTAAATTCAGTGTCGTAACACTTTTTTGGACTCTTAATTTTCTCAGCATGACCTTCGAATGTTTCATCAATTATTTCCAAGCGTGACTTAGAAAAAAACCTATGTAAAGATTCAATTTTATCTAATGCTCTTTCACTTCTTTCTGTGCTTGAAGACAATGTGGTATCTTCAGTCATGCAAGCGGAATCTATCCTTTTAGATAAATCAGATATAGACTCGGATATTTCTGTTGTAGAAGTGGACCTGTCTATTTTGACCACCTTAGGTTTTATAATCATACTAGGCGGTAAATCTGGTATATTTCTTAGATCGATGAGACTTATAGAATTCCTTTTCAGACTGGAACTGATATCGAACTCTCTACTATCTTCAGAAGAAGCGTCATCATAGAAATGCTCATCGATTTTCGTTTCTATGTAGCTGATTAAATCTTCAGCGCATTGTTTGGCGTGTGCCAATCTTTCATCACCGGACATTTTTCTATCCAATCCTCTTGACGATGGCTCATCTTCTTCCATAATATCTGATAATTCAACGCTATATGGTAAATATTGGATGTACTGCAAAATAGGCGGTTTAGTATAAGCAGTAAAGTTTTCCATGTCTTCTTGGTCTGTCATAGTATCGTCTTCTATAACAATATTACAAATATGATACACTTTGTTTAAAGCTTCATCGAAAATATCTTCCAAATCGCCTTTAACATGGCTCAAATCTATAACAGTCTCAGATATTCTTCTACTGCAAGACCTGTCAGATCTATCATCACCTCTGTCGATAACAGTGTCTTGGGTTTGCGTTAATGTTGAATCCGATTTTGTTTTATTCATATCACTAAACGTTTCCAATTTACTTATAGTCACATCTGACTTGGATTTCTCGGACAAAGATGGTGTTATAGATATAGATTTATTTTGGAATGTCTTATCCTTACTACTATAGTTTTCCATATATTTTATGAGCATTTCGACTAGAGTTTCATTGCCTTCTTCTTCAGGCGTCTCGTCTATATAAGATAAACCTTTAACGTTAATATTGGATTCAGAAAGGCTGATCCCTTTATAGTCTGGTTCGGTTCTGATTTCAATTATGGGTTTATCAATCCATTGCCCTTCCTCGGGTCCGAATAAGAATTCCATTAGAGTGATTTTCTTATCTTCTTTGTTAGCTGTATCTTCTTTATCCATACAACCAGAAGAAGCTAAAAACTCGATGAGAGTCTCCATTTTTTGTTCCAATTCAGTATTCACCTTAGTAGGTACGTAAGTTTCTAATTTATTTTCCGTCGGACTACTATCGCTTTTGAAGCAACTACCACCGCTACCTTTCCTCTCGTCTTTCTGACTTTTGACAATCGTGAAGAAGAAATCTATGAGGTTTGCTATTCTTTTATCGCCCTCTTCGTCGTCTGAACTCGTTAAGTCAGATTCTTCTTTGACAAGTGGACATCTCTTCGGTACTTCATCGAATTTCTTTAAGACAGTCTCTTGAACAACTTGGAGGAGGTCTCTCGCTAGTCTTACCGGGGATTTGGCGTCGGAGTGGATGGGCTCGTAGGTGCCGGTGCCGGCGGGAGCGGAACGTCGTCTGTCCTTATCTATCCTGATGAAGTCCCATAGGGAGCCTAGTTCCGATGACAGAGAGGCTCGGTGGTTGGCTAATCTGTTGCCTAGCCGGCGGAAAACCTGAGTCAATATAAAGAGATGATTAAGCATTTGTGTCTATCTTTCAAAACTTTAAATAATTCAAAAAATAATAAGCATGTCGGTGTTAAATCTTATAATCGATTTGGTTCTTATTATAGCTGACCATTTCAAGAAATGGAAGAAATTGTTTTGTCCATGAGAATTTGTCTGGTCAGATTGACGGATTATCAGCATGAAATAATATGGGCAGCTACTTTATGAGTAAGACATTATTAATAACAATATTGTTACGACTTAGGGTTCGGGATAAAAATCAACAACGAAATTAATTTACAATTTGACTTTATTTACTTAATAAAATTACAAAAATAATCCAATAACAACTTCGAAATCACTAATTCCTGTCACTACTCTCATTTCACAGCACTATTTGACCGTCCCGATAGTTCACTTCACTAATTTTCGCATGCATGCAATTATGACCTATAAGTTTTTAGGTCAGTATCGAAAATCGCGTAACTTATATAAATACTGGGTGGCTAAAGTATTTAGAAATTTACAACAGGCGTAGCCTAGTATTGTTAAATACCTAGTAGATGGATCTGTTCTAGTAAATACGCCTCACCTCTACTGTAAAGTGAAATAACGGAATTTTATTTATTAAATAAGTAAAGTCGGATTGTGAATTTTATTGGCGTTGAGATTATCCAGAGCCCCAATTAAGCAATTGCAATAAACGCTTGGAATAGGTAGACCTAGTATCAAATTTACCTAGTATAACCAAACTCTCGAAATTCGCTCTAGTTTCGAGTTCACTGGTCACTGAAAGAATGCCGGGAGTCCATCGCGTATTTATAGGGGCCGATATCACTTAGAATGTTCTAGATAAGGACCTAGTATATTGTAGGTTGGTCTCGGCCTTACCGGTATATTCGAGGCATTACCAAAGACGTTTAGAACGGCTCCCCGTCCTTTTTTCCCAAGTGATCATACCTTGCTCACCGACGTATACCTATGTGACTCGCGTAATTTCAACAGTGTGTTTCAACGCCATCTAGTAATGCCGATGAAAACGCCGCTGCGTTGCAAAATGGGCTGACGACCTCATAAAGGTGGCCGGCAAGGGCTGGATGAAGACAGCGGGAGATCGTATTTTCGGACCCTTTGTTGATGAGATTTTTTATTGCAGCAGTAGTGCGGCAATTGAACGTGATGAGGATGGATATGGTGAGGTGTACGGTATACCTGCCACACTCAGGAGCGCCAGGCACGCAGTTTCCGCAGCGAGACCCGCTTGAAGCGCGCCACCTGCGCCGCCAGCGCCTCCGCGCCCAGCGAGCCCCCGCGCCCCGACCCCGCACCCCCGCCCGCCTCGCCTTCCGAGTGCACCTGACAATTATACTGGTGGGCTGAGTACCTAATTTTAAAATCTATCGCAGATCATTTTAAAAGTATAGCCATTTATGGAATTATGGCACTTTTAAAGACGACCTTTTCGTTTGAAATTTTTCAATTGCTTTTGCGTCTAACGCTCACCATTCGTTAAATTCAAATTATCGATATCGTTGAAAAATGTCGCTACCATGTGTCAAATAATTGTAGCGTGAAAATTGTGAATATCTTTCAAATGTGAAACTGAAAGGGATTGATTTCACAATTACACAATTAGCCCCCGGGTCGTTTGCTATTTGGGTCAACGTAGAGAATGAGCTTTTCTAAATTGTCTAGGGTCTGTGTGTACGTGCGTTGTTTCTGATACTCCATAATACGGTGACTTTAGCTAGCCATCTTGGAATATGAGCAATGTATGTGATGTTGTCTAATATATTTTTTAATCGTCCTGGCACTTGGCAGAACGTCATAAACAACAAGGGCGCTCGAGTCGCTAGTCAAAGGCTGGTTTAAACATTTTTTTCACAAAAATGATTTCTCAAGTTTGTGTTGTACTATCGTGACCTTTATAACTCTATGTTTTATTCATAAATGAAAGGAAGATGCTACGCTCGCGCGCTTTGTAGAGTACCTACATATTGACTTCATATTTTAATGAAGTCATTTTTCAATCTTGACACCCTCTATGAAATAAAACAGGGAGAAAAAAGCGGCTTTTGCCAAGTTTCTTGCCGGTTCTTCTCGGTACATGGTCTCCCGTAGATTTACGAACCGAAGGCGTAGCTCTCGACTTTCATAAGTGCTTGTAACAGCTTAGACTAATTAAATAATTTGGATTTTGATTTTTGATTGCAGTTTCGAATGAATATGTTAAAATTCGAGCATGAGTTAGGTTTGATTTTTTTAACCCATGTAGATTACTCAAAACACATAGAAGAACATAGTTGTTTATGATTTTGGCTATCCTCCGAGGTTGTTAACTGCATGGCATACATATCAGTAGTTTTCTCATTTTTCATTAGGTACAGCTTTTTTTGGACTTAATTTCTTACCTCTCTGGCCGCGGCTCTCTTCTGCATATAAGCTCTCATGTCTTTGTCAGAGTGACCTTTTGCTCTACCGACGCCTTTGCCTAGAGGTGTAGACGACGCTCTCCTGAAAAAAGAAATAGACATTTCATTTGTCTAAAGGGGCCGTCCATTAATCACGTGATGTTCTTTCAGCATTTTTTGAATCGCCCCACCCCCTTGTTGATACATGGTGAGGTTTAAGACTAACCCCTTCCCCATCTACCCAAATCACGTGTATTTTTATTAACTACAAAAATCTGAATTTTTCGCGCGTTTGAGGAGAAAATAAATACACGTGATATATTACTACTACACCTTCCTTTATTTCGAGCCTTACGTGATTAATAGACGGCCCTAAAGGCAATTAGAAATCCACTATCAGTCTACATTCAACAATTCAAAAAGAATTAATACAATATATATTATTAAAAATTTACTGTTTTATTAAAACAGTACTAAAGTCTTTGGTTTGTCTGTATAGCATCGTTGTATTATTTTAATCAAGCAATAATACATGTGACCATCTGAATACCATCAAAACGGTTATTGAAAAAGTGTAATGATATAAAAAGGCCATAATTGTTACTTTTGTGGACTATGAAAAAGCGTTCGACTCATTAGAGTTATCAACTGTTGAAGAAGCTTTAGCGGACTGCAGAGTCGATGGACGCAATATAAGCTTCGACAAAAGCATACCACAGCCTGCGTTAGTCTACACAAGAAAACTGACAAATTCCACCTTGCCAAAGAAGTACGAAAAGGCGACACTATATCTCCAAAATTCTTTACCGCGGCACTATAAAATGTGTTTAAAAGTTTAAATTGGAACGAGAAAGATATTTTAATAGATGGTGAATATCTCACGAACTTGAGGTTTGCTGACGACTTGGCACTATTTTCTGAAAGTGTAGAGGAAATTATGGTCATGATAGATGAGCTGAAAATCGCATCACAATGAGTAGGGCTAAATATGAACATAACAACCAAGATTATGATCAACAATAAACGCTGCATGTAGATGTTGTCGACTTTTATGTGTATCTGGATCATTCGATTGCATTGGGAGGTTTAAATCAAACGGCAGAGATAGACAGACTTATAGCCCAAGCCTGGGCAGCCTTCAGAGCAAATAAAAAGATTGTGCGTGGAGAGTTGTCAATAAAACTTAAGGCAACATTTTCGAACAGTGCATTATGCTTGTTTTTACCTATGGTGCTGAAACAATGTCCTTCACTAAAAACTCGACTAAGAAATTTCGAGTGGCACAGAGAGCGTTAGAAAGGGTCAGGAAGGGCAATACTCAGTATTACCTTGCGTGACTGCAAGGAAAACAAATGACTCAGAATAAGGACAGGCCTGAAGGGCGTTATCTTCGTAATTGACAAAAGTAGGTGGTGACGGGCGGGGCATGTAGCACGCATGGACAATAGTAGTTGGATAAAATGACTTCAGGAATGAAGACCATGTGCTAACAATGTATCACGTAGGCGTCCTCCTAAGAGATTGGATGTTATTAGACGACACGCGGATCGTGATTGGATGCTGAAAGCACAGGGTCGCCGAGCATGAAGGAGGCCTATAGACACAGAATGTCTGAATAATAACTGGTACATACAGCAGTGCAGGTTACTATAGATCAAATTTCTGCAGTAAATTTTTACTTTATCGACAACCACTTAAGATTTAAAATCGACATTTGATATATCGAAGACGGTTTCGTCGTCTATCCTGCTTTAACTAACATATTTTACAGAATAGGACAAATCATGGTGAAATAGACGATACATTGAAAATAGGTTTTAAGAGTTAGCCATTGGCATTGGCCAATTTTGCAGCACATTACCAGTTTTGTCCATCGGTTTAATAACCGACGGACACTAATTGCTGACCTGCATTGACTCGGGTCGCTGTACGCCGACTGTATTGGTGGTTTCCCGTCAGGAGTTTCGGAGCTGATAACACCTCCGAGAGGGAACGGCGATCCACCTGTAGAATTAACATCATCATCAGTTTATTATCGATACGGTTGTTAAGCAATTTTCGCAATGACCGGTCATAGGATGGTGACCAAAAATGTATTATCTCGGGCTCTTTGTTATTTGTGCGTATGCTTAAAGTTGTTATAATGGAAGTTGTAACCTTTTATGTAACTTATTTAATGTCGTATGTATTTTAGCAAATTTTGGTTACATATTTTCTATCTATTTATTTATCTATTTATTAGCATTGCTCCATGATCGTACCTGTGATGGCGCCTCGTGTCATGCTGAGGCCCCGTTGTATGCGCGCGATGGCCGCTCGGTGACGTGGTATAGGAGCAGAACTGCCCTTCTCTTGTAACACGAATCTACCCAGTGTCTTCCAGCTCGCCTAGCAAAGAAACCGAATATACAGATTTAATATTTTATCGTGTATGTATCCAGAAAACTGGAAGATGTTCGATTATCAAGAGAAACTATGGTGAACGAAATTAATGAACGCGACCTTAAGGGTTAGGCTGCACCAAGTTATTTTAACAATAATAAACATTATTCTGTATAATTTTCAGCAAAATCAAATGCAAAATCAATAAACATGTTAAATTACCGGTTATGCGAATTATAATGATTTGGAAATAATTGGATGATATAACTTGAACTATAAACTGTAACAGCCAAGTTTCGCTGGTTAAAGTTATTGATTTACAATGCCAAGAAAGAAGACGGTGCATCGCAATCCACAATGTTGAAGTCAGCGTGACAGATATTGGCAAAATTGACATAAACCATAACTTTAACTGCAATTATGGTACAATACAACCTAAGCCTTGTTTCCCATTGGGGTGACAACAATTTGGTTAGCTTCAACACACCAAAACGCATACGTGCTTATTTAGCACATAAAGGAGTCCTTTCGACTTGACTCCTTATGATCCTATAGCGGACAGCCTTGAGCTACTTGGCATGAAGTTAACAACCTCAACTTCGGCGATATCATCGAGTCAAATGCGCATTCTTTTAAAAATATATGTCATAAAGTTACAGTTGGAACATAACCAATTCATATGCATAAATACCTGCGCTGTATAAACGACCTCGTCGTCCGCCAGCGCTCGCTGTTGTGGTCCTGCGCCAGCGCGTCCTCCCCACTCCAGCTCCTCCACTAACACGAATCTGGGGGGGGATAATGGTTTAATGATAAAAAATACTTATTACACTTGGATGCCATGACGTTGATGTAAGCAATCGTTAACAAATGTAACCAAAGTTTTAAATAAAGTAGCCAAGCCTTTTATACCTTGGCATCCGCTATAAAGAATTTCCTTCAAATGTGATGTTACTGTGTAGTGAATGAAGTGACTTATTAAGTGCAGATGTATAGGTTAAGAAATATCCTGTACTTGTAGTAATGTAGGGTACATGATTAAATTGCTGTTGATGAGTGAATATAATATACTTTTTTATATATTCTAATATTGTGATGGAAATGACTTCTTTATTTTTTTTAATGAAACCATTTTTTTTTCTTGGAGTCTCTGTATGAATTAAAACAGGAAGTAAAAGGCAGCCCATGTCGAGTTTCTTGTCGTTAATTCTCGATACAAGGTCACCTGCCGTAGTTTTACGAACCGATGGCACAAAGCTTCGACATTCACAAATTTTCATTTGATTCGATTTGATTTGTGCAAATTCAGAAGAGGGGTAGCAGTATAGGAATATTATTTATTAGGTCAATGATGATCAACACTTACCTTTTTGGGTCATCGTGGCATCTCGCTTTCGTCAGTGCTTGGTAGACGACATAAGACGCTGTAGCACTCAGTGGTACCTGTAAAGATGTTGCTTTTCTTAGCTAAATAATATCAAGATGATATTTTTCACTGCAAAGATTCTTTGAGCAAACATTCCAAAAGATAGAAACACGGACTTATATTATTCAGTTTGATATTTTCATGGTGCAGTATTAAAAAAAACTAATGAATAGTCAAGCATGAAACAGCTATTTTCCAATGCAGCGTCTCTACTGATGGTTTGGAACGGGATGGGTGACCGGCTCACCTTCAAGATCGCGTACGGTATCTCGTGGGAGACGTTGTGGACGCACACCAGGAAGCTGTCCGGCGGCCGACGCGGCTCGTCATCTTGAGTGCTGGACTCCTCGTCCGAGGGGACCGAGCGATCTCGAGACCGATCTGTTGATGTTGATCTGAATTCCGAACGGGATAAGTTTATTAAGTTTAGATACAATCACAGAATATTGTAAGAATGATTTTTTACGTAAACTTACATGTTTATGGGTTGTTAACTTTTATGTAAGATACGCCTAGATAAATTAAAAAATGACTCGATATCTAAAGTAGGAAACATTATTTTATAATCAAATATATGAAGATCTATTTCTCAACAATTTTTTGAATAGTTTCATGGTTCAGTAACCATATTTTTCTTCTCTATTTATCTCTTATCGAAATCACTTTTCTTATGACTTCATATCCGAATGGTGTCTTTTTTTAATGTTTGACTTATAATATATCGCAGAGCTGGAGTATAATGGGACATCGACAGTTTCTTCTTCTTTAGCCTATCTCTACTTTATCAGTGAAGGCTTATCTCAGTATTTTCATTCATATTGGGATTGAGCTCTTTCCAATCATTTGGGACCTGCAACCCTCTTGATGTCGACTTTCCAGCGGATTTATGGTATATCTCGTAGACGCTTATTACCCTAGGGCCTCCACTCAAGGAGCCGTTTGCACTAAGAGTTTTTTTCGTTACGAGCCACATATCTTGCCAACTACCACTTAAGGTGTTCCACCGGTTTTTCTACATCTGCGACTCTGTTTTACTCTCGAAGCCATTTTGCGATCCATTAGTGTCACTCCTATCACTTTTCTCTCTCCTTCTCTCTAGGCAACTTCCAATCTATTGATTGACTGTCGGCGCTATGAGCACTGGTAAGATGCACTGGTTGAATATCCTGGTATTTATTACGCAGAAGTTTTCATTTTTAAAGCATGAAACATCAACAATATTGTCCTTTATAAAGCAGCCGAATATACTGACCTGATGCTAGTGAGCCATGCTCTGCTGCTGGGATCGTCCCCGACCCGCTTGAGCAGCAGGCGGGCGCCGGGGTGCGGGGGGCGCGCGGCGGCCACGCGCAGCACGCGCTCGTGCGGCGCCAGCACGCGCTGCGTGGGCGCGCGCGACGGCACCTCCTCCACCAACACGTAGTTGCCGCGGGAGGAACGGCACACGCCCGCTTTCGTTAGGCACTGAGCTATAGCCTTCACGAAAACTATTTTGTTAATTATTTCGCAGTTTCAAATTCGATCATGGATGTAATACACAAAACTAGACTAAATTTATCATTCCTCCTGAACTGCGCTTCCGATTAAACGAATAAAGAAACTAAACAGAGGAGTGCAATTATATTCCTTTGATTAGTTTACTCTCAGAGTGATACGATAAAATTGCCAATGGGTTAGTGATTCAGACTGCTGACCAGAATATTTGTGAATGTCGAAAGGTGTTGTCGTCAGTTAACAAAACTAAGATGGGAGAACTTGTGCTGATAGGAACTGATGGTAGCTCAGCGAGGGTTGCTTAAGGATAGCATTTCGTGACTTGGTTTTTTAAATAAAATTTTAGATTAATCTATAGACATACCAAGATCGGTTATTCAATGCATCGTTAAAATTAGGGGATAACGTGATGTCAAAATCAGAATCCATTAGAAAAAAACGCCTCAAAAGTAAAAGATTGTGTTTACCTTCAGGTACAATAAGAGTGTTAAAACACGCTATCGTATCTTTCAAACTATCCGATTGCAGGAGTATCTTAGAGAGGACGAATTCGACTTACCTCATTAGCGGTGGTGTCTTGCGTCACCTTCAATATAGAGTAAGGTTCGTGTCTTGCGACCGCATATACAACTAGGAAATGGATCTTCCTCCTATCTTGAGGAGATGCAGGCTCCAGATCACCTCTATACGATTCTCCCGCCAGCTCCTCGCAACATCGAGAGAATATCAGCAGTGATGCCATATTCAAAGGCTGATTCGTTGGAGACCTAAAAGCATCACCGAATCTTTCGAAAAACATTAAATGGATATTGCACTGGTCTCCCAGTATCATCATTTCTGATAACGGAATCAGAAGAGTCACATGACTTATTCATTAGTGCGGTTGGATTACAATTGTGAAAGGCAAACTTTCGTAAAAGCCTGTCTTCAGACAGAAAACTCAATCTGTAATATTTTGAGCAATTCCATTCACAATCGTCAAATTTATGATAATGACTTTAGTACACGTTTTAATGTAAGATGAGATGACTTTAACTTAAAAGCTCATTACATGTCGTCAGGGATTTGAATTAATTACATAAATGTAAGTTTGATAAGTAAAATATTTTCCTTCCACTTTTATATGTATTTGTAACCACTTTTATATCAGGCAGTCTAGTAAGCAGATAATACAAAAAAAATGGTGCAAAGAGTAACATTGTTACCTTAAGCGAACATGTCTGTAGCCAGGTCTTAAACATTGGAGAGGGATTACTCTCTGAGATAGCATATAGTTAGTATCAGCATCGTATAGTTCGAATCGAACAAACGCAAGGTCAGGAAAATTTATCTGAAAGCATAATTCTATTAGGAAATTCGACAGACATAGCTACAAGTCAAAAATCAAAGTACACAAATGCCCTAAGCCGATAATACCTCCAATTAAGAAACAACTTGATATCCCAAAAATTTGGGCTGCCTTATTATCACATATTTTAAAATCAGTTATATTAGCTGTAGTACGAGTATTATTAATTTCAATAAATGTTGATTTATTCTTTTTAATTATTTTCGAAAAATATTAGCTTTAGTATTCAAAAATGCTTTAGATAACTCTGATAATCAATACAAACCTTGAAATTAAACGTTTCATTCCATATTGGGTTAAGGGCGTTCCTTCTAGCAACTTTAGTCCTAATTTTTTTACAATCAGCCGGCA